CCCCCCCGGCGGGTCTCTGGCCGGCGGCCATCAGCCATAACCTGACAGCTTATGATCCATAACCTGATAGATTATACCGGTCACTGGCCATAATCTATCAGGTTATGATCCATAACCTGACAGATTACACTGGCGCCAATCATAGTCCATCAAGTTATGATCTATAACCTGATAGATTATGCCAACTGTCGGTCATCGACACTGGCCATAGTTTATCAAGTTATGATCCATAACCTGACAAATTATGCCGGCCTCCGATCACCGGCACCGGTCATAGTCTGACATGTTATGTTCCATAGACTGCCAGTTTATGCTTCATAACCTGACAACTTATGTTTTATATGAGATTATGATCCATAACCTGTCAATCTATAATCCATAAACTGTCACATTATGTTCATAACCTGACAGATTATGCTTCATAACCTGCCAGAGTATTAAGCATAATCTGCTACATTATGTTGTTTTTTCAACAAATATCACTAATTTTATGGCAACAATAATCAAATTGAAAAAGTCAAACATAAAAGAAATATTGAACAATCAATAACACAAAAAATTAGTACAAATACAATAGATGCAAATTTTAAAAACAAATCTTAGATCTCAAAATCATAATATGCTATCGATAAGGTATAATCTATCAGTAAATTATAGCATTTTCTCTTATTCAATTTAGTTTTTGAGTCTCCCAAACTTCTGGGTAGTTCATTTTCCACCTACCAAAAAGAATTGACTCAAAAGCCTCATATAGGAGTTTTTTTTTTTTTTTTTTTTGATGAAAAGATACTTTATAAGGCACACTGCAAAGAAAGAAAAGGAACAAAGCTGCTTACCTGCTATAAAAAACCAGCACCACAAACGAAAGAGAAGCTCCCACAAACCTTGACCAAGCAAACTCACAATGCTGCAGACCATCTACTAAGCCTTTAATGTCACAGATTAGCACTTGAGATCATCTGCAGACCTAGGAGAATTGATTTCCAAAAGCCAATAACTCTAATTCTTAAACTTGTCAGGTATGCATTTATCACGGAGATGTGTAGAACATATGAAAGTAAATTATTTTCTATGATGGTACAATCACATGGTAAGAATCTAAACACATAAAACTGCATTTCATAATAACAAAGAGCAAGAAAATCAAAATTGTTAAATTTATACAAGAATACTTTCAATTGGAAAATAATACTGCTAAAAAGTAAATGTATCGTTTTATAAACAAAAGATTCTCCTCCTTAGAAAGCAAGGCGTTTCTATAGTTATTAGCCAATAATAAAAAATAATTAGAAGGATGAATAAAGTATAACCAAGTTAAACAAAAGAAAATGAATGAATAAAGAACATCAATTTCTTTAAACATCATTTACGTCATACACTGAATTATCACTATTACTCTCAAATAGTTTGTTGAACTAGTTGGGAAAATCTTTAGATGAGTTAAAGATGTTAGGCAATAAAAAGTTTAATAGTGCCCGTAACTCCTCAAGATTATTCTGCATAAATAAAAAAAAGTAAAAATTACTCAATATGACAGATCAATGAGTCCATATCAAAAAAGAACACTACGTTTGTAAATTGCCGTCTCAGTAAAAATGCTTGTTTCTTCTTGTGGGGAAGACAAGAACAATCTGGTTACGTTTGGTTCATAGGTTTAAAACCATAATTCAGGACCATTCTTAATTTACATGTGTTTTTTATGAGAGAAAACACTGTAGCGAGTTACGAACCATAATCCGAACCATGGCACGAATTCTTGCTCCAAACGCATAGTTTTTACGTTTAATGAATTTTTTTTTCTTTTTCTTATAGTACCAGTTAACAATGACTTTAGTGGTCAAAAGGACATGCGGATCCACTAAAATCACAAATTAAGATCCGGATCTAGCGAACTCGCTAAGCGTAGAATCAGATACAGCCAACTCAGATCTGCAAATCCGGCGAACTCAGAACTCGGCGAACGGAGCTGCATGAGGACGACAACAAGGAGAGAGGTCGACATCCGGCGTTTGTCTCCAAGCGTGGGAGACGCTGCTGCGAGATATCCAACGAGATCTTGCACTAAGGAGAACCAGCGTTACTGCCTGTTAGAGATTCAGGGGTTGTTTGGTTAGGAGATTCGTCCCCTGATTCGAATTATGGTTCGTAGTTTGTTACAGTATTTTTTCTCACAAAAAATACACGTAAATCGAAAATGATTCTAATCACATGGTTCTAATCTATGAACCAAACGTCTCCTCAATGTCGAAGCAGTGATGAGTGAACAGAATCTCAGACGACAACAAGAGGGGACTTCGATGTCAATGGAGGTACCATGACGATGATGAGAGGAGACTCACGAGCTGCAGCTTTGACGACCAAACCTCTGATGAAGAAAGACCGCTTCTTCTTCTATTTAACATACGCACAATTTTGAGAGAGAGAAGAGATTGAGAAAGAAAAAAGGAAAAGAAAAAAATAGAAAAAAAGTAAATTTGAAAATAAAAAATAAAAAATACAAAATGATCTATTAATTTTCATAAATTAATAAATTGGCCCATTTACCACCACAACTTTTAAGTATAGAACTATTTCCTACAATTTGTCTAATCTATTTCCCCTCTCTATTATGCCCTTGTAAAAATTCCCATACAAAACTCTTCTCGCCCAAAAAAAAAAAAAATGTATATACTTTGAGCTTGAACACTTCTCCATTTTTTTTCTATGAAATTCGTCTAATCTTCCTCCGATGGCGAACCAGTCTTCGTCCAATCCAATCCTTTGCGCTTCGTTCAATCAGGACTCCAGGTATTTAACATGTAATTTCAACTTTAAAAACAGGAATTTTCAGAAAAGTTCTTTCCTTTTTCCTCGGAGAATTATGGGGATTTCTATTTTCTCGGGAAACAAACGGAGAGTTTTGATGAATTTGTGCTTGTATATGTAAAGAATGGAGTCTTAATGGGACCGAATTTTGCAGTTGCTTTGCGATTGGCACAAAAGATGGGATCAAAATATTTGATTCTAATACCGGTAGACTCTGTTACGAACGAGGCAAGTAATCTATTTTCCCTCGTTATCAGTCCCTTATAAAATTAAGAATTTTGGTTTGTTTGATCAATCTGAAAAGTAAAAATGGCTACTTTGGGAACTTCGGCTACTCTTTTTTGCCTCATGAATAATAAAATTATTTTGCCGAGGTTACAATTAAAATTCACCTCCATTGAGTTGATTCTTGAGTTTTATAAAATTGATTTACTGTTTTATTCATCACCAAGTTGTTATTTGGTCTGCTGATTATTGGTATGCTTGAAAGTGTACGAATTTATTGTTTGAATATGAGTTTGTTGAATCAAAGTTAATGAAAGTGTTCGATTCTCTTACAGCCATTGGGGCTTTCAGTATTGTTGAAATGCTGTTCACCTCTAGTCTACTAGCCATTGTTGGAGCTGGTGAACAGGTGCTTTCTTATTTCACATGTTTTGCACTTGAAGATTTTTTGTAATTGCAATAGCATTTTTAGTTTCTTTGCGCGATGGCTATTTAATAAATATATTTTCTTCTTTTGTTTGATTCCCACAGCCATCGTTATCCCCTCGCCGTCTCTGTTTGTTCAATACAATGACTGGAGCTGCTCTCCGAGAATTGAATTTCTTAACTTCAATACTAGCCGTTCGCATGAATAAGAAAAGGTACAGTATCCATAAAGACTGATGCTGAAGTTGAAAAACAATTTTGTATTTGTTTTATTTCTCCCGGACAGATTATGTTTACATAGTGAGGAAATTGATGAAGATGAAATTTTATTCCTCTTACTTACAAACGTATTGTACAGCCCTTTTTGTAGATGAAAATACATCTAGTAATTAGGAAAGACAACCTATCAAAATTCTAATAATAGAAAATACTAAAAAAAAAAAAAAAGACGAAAGCACTCCTAAAGAGAATCGGGTAACATTTTACCCAATATCTTTGAGATATAGAGCTAATCTAGGAAATAAAAAACTGATTGAGAGCTGTAAAGATAGCTGTAAGAGGAACAAATTAGCTGATTGACAGCTGTAAATATACAAAAAACTAGAATATTCTACACTCCCCCTCAAGCTGGGCTGTAAATATTGATTAAGCCTAGCTTGGAGTTCAAATCTTCAAAGTTTTGTTCTTGGTAGGGCCTTAGTGAGAATGTCCGCTATCTGAAGACTAGATGGCAGATGTAGTAACTTGATTACTCCTTCTTCTATCTTTTCCTTTATGAAGTGGCGGTCAATTTCCACGTGCTTTGTCCTATCATGATGCACTGGGTTCTTTGCGATACTGATAGCTGACTGATTATCATAGAACATCTTTATAGGCTCTTTAGTCACGATCCTTAACTCCTTTAAAAGTCTTCTCAGCCACATACCTTCACATATGCCATGTGCCATTGCTCTGAATTCAGCCTCTGCACTGCTTCTTGACACAACAGATTGTTTCTTACTACACCATGTGACTAAATTTCCCCATACATATGTGCAGTAGCTGGAAGTTGATCTTCGATCTCCTATTGATCTAGCCCAATCAGCATCACTGTATATCTCGATGTCTTTGTCAGTTGATTTCCTAAAGTACAAGCCCTTACCTAGTGTTAGTTTTAAGTACCTCAGAATCTTATAGACTGCTTCCATTTGTTCTTCATTTGGATTGTTCATGAATTGGCTCACCACACTAACAGAGAAACCAATGTCGGGTCTTGTGTGGGATAAATATATAAGTTTTCCCACAAGTCTCTGATATCTGCCTTTATCAACCGGTGCACAGTCTTCTTTAGTTCCTAGTTTTGTTGTTAAATACATGGGGGTATTTGCTGGTTTGCATCCGAGCATTCCTGTTTCTTTCAGAAGGTCCAAGACATATTTTCTTTGAGAGACTGAAATTCCTACTTTTGACCAAGCTATTTCCATTCTGAGAAAATATCCGAGGCTTCCCAAATCTTTGATTTCAAATTCCTTGGCTAGTAGACTCTTGAGAATACTTATCTCCTGCGTGTAATCTCCTGTTAAAATAATGTCATCCACGTATACAATAAGAATGGAAATTCTCCCTTCAGGTGAATGTTTAACAAAGAGAGTATGATCTGCCTGACATTGTACATAGCCCTACTGCTTGATTACCCTTGTAAAACCTATCAAACCAGGCTCTTGGGGATTGTTTGAGTCTGTATAAAGATCGTTTCAGCTTGCAAACTTTGTTGATTGTGGCTTGTGTCTCAAATCCAGGAGGAATGCTCATGTATACTTCTTCTGCCAAGTCTTCGTTGAGAAAGGCATTCTTGGCATCTAATTGATGAAGTAGCCAGAGATCGAAGGACTCGAACTGTGTTCAGTTTGGCTATAGGAGCGAAGGTTTCTTCATAATCAATTCCATAGGATTGTGTGAATCCTTTTGCAACGAGTCAAGCCTTGAATCGATCAACAGTTCCATCTTCTTTGTATTTAACTGTGAAGATCCATTTGCAGCATACATGTCGCTTTTCAGGTGGTAGTTTTGTGATCTTCCACGTTCCATTCTTCTCTAGAGCCCGAATCTCTTCTTCAATAGCAGCCTTCCATTCTGGTATTTCGAGGGCTTCTTGTATGGATTTAAGAATTTGTGTATGGTCCAAACTTGCCACAAAAGCCCCGTAGTTATTAGATAGCCCCTGATATGACACAAAGTTATAGATTGGGTTCTTCGTGCATTCTCTTACACCCTTTCTAACTGCAATAGGAAGATCACTATCTTTGGAAGATTCGGGATTAGGGTTACCTTGTGGATCTTTTAGCCTTAAATCCGGTTCCAATTCTTGGATCTGCTGAAGAGGTGCTTGTTGCTCTATCTCCCTTTGGTTCCTTTTCCTTCTAAAATAGGTAGTGCTAAAGTCCTTGTTGTTTTTGGATTGGGTAGTGTCTGGGGAATGGAGACTTGAGATTTCACGGTTGTGGATTGGCTGAATAACGGTTGGAGAAGAAGGTCTTGGGAGCTTAGGCAATTCAACAGGTGGTGAATCAAGGTATGGAACAGTTGGTTCATTTTGGTGAGTAGGGATAGTCTCAATCTGGATATTGACCGGATTTGATGAAGTGTGGGGAATGTCTAGGGCACTGATCTCCGTATTACAATCCCAAAGCTGATATTCCTGTGTAAAACTGCTCTCCCCTGAAGGTCAGATTTGGAGTAAAATATGGCTGATGTTCAAAAAATGAAACATCCATGGAGTTATAGAATTTCTGTGGTTGGAGAATAACACTTATACCCTTTTTGATGAGGGGAGTACCCCAAGAAAATACACTTAATGGCTTTAGGATCAAGTTTTCCCCGGTGTTGGCTATGGATGTGAACAAATGTAGAGCAGCCGAACAATTTGAAAGGAATGGAAGATATGAGATGTGTGGTTGGATATGTTTTGAGTAGGGTTTGACATGGGGTCTAGAATTTTAGGACTCGAGAAGGCATTCTATTTATGAGGTAGGTTACGGTGAGTATAGCTTCCCCCCAATATTGTTTTGGCACATGTGTAGAGAACATGAGAGACCGGGCTACTTCTAGGAGGTGTCTGTTTTTTCTTTCGGCTACACCATTTTGTTGAGGTGTGTCAACATAGGAGCTTAGATGAACAATCCCTTGACTTATCAGGTAATCACTAAGAATGAATGCGAAATATTCTTTTGCATTGTCCGTTTTGAAAATTTGTATTTTGGTTTGGAATTGGGTTTGAACCATAGTATTGAATTTTTTGAATATCGGACCTGCCTCTGATTTATCTTTCATTAAGAAAACCCATGTAAGTCCAGTGTGATCATCTATAAATGTTATGAACCAACGAGATCCGGTAATATTCTTGACCCTAGATGGTCCCCACACATCACTGTGGATCAATGGAAAGGGTTTTGATTCTTTGTAAGGTAAGTTAGGATAGGAATTTTGGAACATGTTTTGCAAATTGACAAATCTCACATTAAAACTTATTCGGATTTTTATTATTAAAAAGAGATGGAAAAAGTTTCTTGAGATACATGAAATTTGGATGTCCTAACCTATAGTGCCATAACATAATGGCACTATCCCTTTCTGATTGAAAAATTGAAACTGAACTTTGACTAACAGACACTAAACAATCAGTAATGTGACCTTTTCTTTTAGAAGAATCATTCGCCTCAAGTAGATAGAGCCCTGAGCACTCTTTAGCATTGCCAATCATCTTCCCCGAATCCAAGTCCTGAAATTCACAAGAATTTGGAGAAAATTTAATGACACATTTGAGATCCCGAGTGAGTTTACTGACTGATAGTAAATTGTAGTTTAATTTAGGCACTAAAAGAACAGAGTTGAGTGTTAGTTCTTTTGAAACTTTTACTGATCCGGTCCCAATCACTTTGGAAAGTGATCCGTCTGCTATACTAACTGTGATGTTCTCATGGCATGGGCTGAAATTTGTTAGAACCTCTCTATATCCAGTCACGTGGTCTGAAGCTCCTGAATCCACAATTCACGAATTCAAATTATCTTTCCTAACACTTAAGGCACTTATAAAATTACCTTTATGAGCTAAAGCCCCAGTTCTAATTTTAATGGTAGAATCGGCTGCCTGTGATTCCTTGATCAGTTGTTTCACAATTTCCATCTTCAAAATCTCCATCTGCTCTTTGCTAAAATGGTTGGACTCGGCTGGTGTAGAATTCTCCTCCCTGATTGCAATGTTGCCTCGGTTCTCTCTGTATTGTGGTCGTGAAGACTTCCAATCTGTTGGTTTTCCGTGAATCTTCTAGCATGTTTCCTTGGTGTGACCGGGCTTGCGGCAATGCTCACAATATGGTCGTTCCCTTTTCTGCCGATTGTCAGTGCTTTGATTTTGAGGCCCATGAACAGCTAGGGTAGAATTTTCCACTTGAGGTATGACAGTTTGTGTCCCTAACATCACCTTTTTTCTGCTTTCTGCTCTCCGAACCTCTGAAAAAGCTTCTCGAAGGTTGAGTTGAGGTCTCATCCCCTGAATTCTTCCCCGAACTTCATCAAGGTTTTTGTTGAGCCCAAATAAGAATTTATACACTCTTTTCTTGTCAACAATCTGCCTGAATTTGACTACGTCTTCGAGGCAACTCCATGAGTGTTCCTCAAACATATCCACTTGCTGCCAATAGCGTGTGAGGGTGTTAAAGAACTGTGTCACAGTCAAATCTCCTTGCCGCAAATCATGTAGAATGCCTTCTATCACGAACAACTCTGAAGTATTCTCTTTGTTCGAATAGGTTTCCCTTACTGCCTCCCAGATTTCTCTTGCTAAAGGAGAAAGTTTTCTCCTATCTCGTCGGTCATGGAATTAATTAACAATGACATAACCATACTGTTCTCTGATTTCCAGCTTTTGAATTTCGGGTTGTCTGCCTTTGGAGGAGTCGCCACACCAGATAAGTAGTCGTCTTTTCCTTTGCCACATATGAACATCATCATAGATTGGGACCATTGGAGATAATTGTTCCCATTGAGTTTGTGTCCTGTAATAAGGATTTGGTTGCCATCTGACATTCCACTAGGGTTAGAAACCGTGGAATCTTGATGAGAGGTGACTTTGAAAGTGGTAGAGGAGGAACTGATTCTCTCTGTGGCCATCCCATTTTTCACCATATGAGAATTGATTTAGGTTTTAGAGAGTGGCTCTGATACCATGAGGAAATTG